TGGGGGCGTGTACCCACACAAACAGGGAAAGCCGTGTCCTGCAGCAGGTCAGACATGCCATTCGTGCGGTAAAAGAAATCATTTCGCAAAATATTGTCGTAGTAGAGGAAGGGCTAGAGCAGTTAGCGCAAAACCTGTCAATCGCGAGGGTTCAGACGAGGAATATGTATTCGCAAACAAGTGTTTAACAAAAAAAGGGCCTCCCAAGTTGCAAAGTAGAAATTGCTGGGATGAAAATTAAAGCCGGAATTGACTCACAAGCAAGCGTTAATATTATGGACAGCGATACATTCAATAAACTGAAGAAGACAGCAGCAGCTCCAAATACATGTTTGCGAAAATCAAAAGCACAAGTATTTGCATATAATGCATCGCACCCCCTTCCAGTCATGGGTGAAATAAAAGCTAAAATAACTGTTAACAAACGTCAAGTCACCGCCTCCTTCAGCATTGTAAACGGTAATGCGGGTAATCTTCTGTCATACCAAACTTCAGTTGATTTAGGTCTGTTACAAATAACCAACAGCGTTACACCACCGAACACCGACAAAGTATTAAACGAGTTTAGTGAACTATTTAACGGTATGGGAAAGATAAAAGGTGAGCAAATTAAATTACACATAGATGAGACCGTCCAGCCGAAAATTCCGAATCATCGTCGAATACCATTTCACGTACGAAAGGATGTGGACAAAGAAATCAATCGTTTAATAGCGGACGACATAATTGAACGCGCAGAAGGGCCCACTCCATGGATAAGCCCAGTAGTTGTCGTGCCCAAAAAGTCAAACGAAGTCAGAATCTGCGTTGATATGAGGAACCTTGCTATAAAACGTGAAAAGCACCCTATACCTACAATTGAAGAAATAATAACAGACCTTAACAAAGCGCAATTCTTCAGCACACTAGACCTCAAAGCAGGATACCATCAATTTGAACTTCATCCGGACAGTCGCTATGTTACTACATTCACTACACACTCTGGTCTTTTCCGCTATAAACGTTTCATGTTTGGCGTCAACGCAGCGTCGGAGATATTTCAAAACGCGTTTGCACGAATGCTTGCAGGTCTCCAAGGTTGTCGCAATATGTCGGATGACATAATAGTTTATGGAACAACTAAACAGGAACACGATGATAACCTCAAAGCGGTGCTACAACGCTTGAAAGATTGTAACGCTCGTCTAAATAAAGACAAATGTACTTTCTCAAAGACAAAAGTCAGCTTCTTTGGCCATATATTTTCTGGAGACGGGGTTAGTCCTGACCCCCAGAAAATTGCAGCGATTGTCAACATGGAACCACCAAAGAACGCAAAAGAAATACGATCTTTTCTAGGAATGGCGCAATACGTATCACGTTTCATTCCGGGTTATGCATCACTTTCAACACCTTTGCGACTGCTCAACCACAACAACGTCGAATGGACATGGGGTGAAACTGAGCAACAAGCGTTTATCCAGTTGAAGTATAAGTTAGCAAAAGCAGATGTTACAGCTTACTTTAATCCTAACCTAGCAACAGTTGTGGTCGCAGACGCGAGCCCAACTGGCCTCGGAGCAGTGTTATGTCAAGAAGGCCGAGTGGTAGCTTATGCCAGCCGTACACTAACAAACACAGAATCGAGATACTCGCAAATTGAACGCGAAGCCCTTGGAGTAACCTGGGCAATTACGCATTTTCATATGTATCTCTTTGGCAGCAACTTCACAGTATATACGGACCATAAGCCAATGTTACCACTCTTTAATAACAAAAACTCAAAACCTACAGCGAGAATCCAACTATGGCTCCTAAGATTGCAACAATACAGCTTAACACTTAACTTCAAAGCTGGAACAGATAACCCAAGCGATTACCTGTCAAGACACCCTGTAACAGTCAACACAGTAGACCGAACATCACAAACAGCTGATGATTATGTAAACTACGGTATGTTTGCAGAAACGCAGTTCCAAAAGCAATGACACACTCCGAAGTGAGTAAAGAAACACAAAGCGACCCTGCAATGCAGAAGCTGAAACTAGCTATTATGGAAGGAAACGCAAACTGTTGGAAAGATTCTGACATCGCGGACTTCAAAGCAATTAAACATGAATTGTCAGTTGAAGACAATGTGATACTCCGTGACACAAGAATAGTCCTTCCGACAAGCCTAAGATCCCGAGCAGTAGATCTAGCACACAAATCCCATCAGGGCATAGTGAAAACTAAGCAGTTAATACGCGAAAAAGTCTGGTTCCCAGGAATAGACAGTATGGTAGAACGCAAAGTCAAGAATTGCCTTGCCTGTCAATCGTCATCATCGATCGGTTCACCACCAGAGCCACTGAGAATGTCAAAGCTTCTAGAAAGTCCGTGGAAAGAAGTATCCATAGATTTTAAAGGACCTTTTCCTGCAGGAGAATACCTACTTGTAATCATTGACGATTTTAGCCGGTTTCCAGAAGTCGAAATCGTATCGTCTACCTCTGCAAAAGCTACAATTCCGAAACTGGATGCTGTCAGCTAAAGATAAATCGATAGGCATACATCAAAGCATCCGCGAAAAGGACAGAAAGAAGAAAGCCGCAATGAAAGCCAATGCTGATAAACACTTACACGCTAAACCAACAACCATAAACATCGGTGACAAAGTACTCATTAAGCAGAAACGTAGAAATATGCTCGACCCTCCATTTATTCCGGAACCTTTTGTTGTCGTCGAAAGGAAGGGAAATTGTATAACAGCACAACAAGGCGAAATTTCTGTCACCAGAAACTGTACCTTTTTCAAGAAGCTAGCGAACATGCAAAATAAAGAATGCATAACGGAAAACGAATCACAGCCAACCACCAGAGCACCAATAACCAAACCGCAGCTAACTCCAACTCGACACTCTACTAGAATCAAGAAACCTCCCATAAGCTTAAATGACTACGTGACGGAATAATGAATATTTCTATTTTAAACATAAGCATATCACTTCTAAAATTCTGAAAGGAAATTTGAACTGTTGTTTTGAATTCAGAAAGTTGATATTTAAAGTTGTTGTTAAAGCACTGAGTTTAAGTGCACTGTTTACAACTTAGAAAAATTAGTTTAGAACTTGTTTGATGAGCTGTGCTCATGTGTTTAAATTTTAAAGTTAATTGACACATAAAAAAAATATATACACATTAGACACTGTAATCTGAATGCCAGCTGTTTATTGTTAATCTGCTAAAGAAATATACTAGACACATCATTACATAACAGAAGACAAATATATACTGTAATCATCTAAAGTAATTTAAATTCAATCTAAACAAAGGGAGGAATGTAATATCTATTATAAAGATTATCGGTCCAGCGCCCTCTCTATTTGCTAGGGGCTACCAATATGGCTACGGTCCATCGTGTACACTGCGAAATACAACCTTGTGATTAAAACCAGCTTTATACGTTATCTAGTGTTCGTCGTTGTTATTCCATGGTCTCAAAGCAGGCTTAAACATTACAATATGCATCCAGAAAATTGAGGCCAGGGAGGGACTTACACAGTTGGAGAGTCTATACCACCTCAGACCCACCATGGTTAGGGCTGAGGTAAGAACATTTATGAATATCACCTTTAGGTGGCCGGAAATGGCACTTCACAGACAAAATTATGAATTTTCATTTTTTGTCCAGTTAAAAAATATTTTGACAAATTTAGTATGGCCCGGGCCGGCAGCTCCCCCCTCCCCCCACGCTCCTATTCCTACATATTACTATGGCACGTCTAGATGGCCGGAAATGGCACTCACAGACTTCAAATTGTGAATATAATTTTCTTTTTATCTCCAATGTTATTTATTTATTTATTTTTTTGACAAATTTGGTGGAGTCCCGGGCCGAGACGGGGATCCCTTCTCTTCAATCATTATAATACGATATATGCCCTACAGTCAATTTTAGAGACACATTATGGTTTTATTTATCAACAAAGTCCTTTTTGGTCAGGGTGCTAGATCGAGGAGCCTATGGGTAGGGCCCCTTCCGGGCCCCTACAATTCGGGGGCCCTGCGGATCGCCGCCGCATGAGAGCATAGGCGTTGTGCCACTGATTTCGGGGACGTTCTTTGGTAAGTGCGCTTGCGCATATCATTAGTTCTGAATTCCCATTCCTTCGTTGTATAGCTACCGTAGCATCTTAAAGGTGCGGCGCGAGAAAAGAATGTTGAAACTATTCAAATATAAAGCTCTGTCCACAAATTTGTGTGATGTTCCCAAATATACCATTTTGATCGGAATTATTTTGAAACAGCGCCGCCAACGTCTCACTACTCACTGGGTTACTTCCAGCGGCCTAGACTGAGCAGCTGGCCATTAGCAAATAGAGCACCGCGGAGCGCATCCCGGTGCTAGACCTTTGCTATAGCAGAAGTAGACAACACGTATGATCATGCTAATTAATGATACATTGTAAACATTGAAATACATTTTTAAGACTCAGACTTGTTTTTAATATAAACATGTCGTTCTTTTTTCGTTTTGAAATATTCGTGCTCATTAGTAATTTAGTTTTATCGCTTAATTATTCCATGATGGTAACTACGTAGATTGAAATGCTAGGACTCTGGAAGTCCCCCAGTGGTGGTTGTCAGGTTATCGGAAATTTTTATTTCAAATTTAGCGAAAATGGTGCATGCATTGATATTTTACATGTTTTATGAATTTTATTTCTCGATCTTGTTGAAAAACGATTATTTAATCGAACAAGTTTATTTGTACATTCTGTGATTTTATTTTCGAGTTGAAATAAAGTTTATATAGGCTATATTACATATAGGCCTATATATGGGAATGATGATGTCATATTATACTCAAATCTTATATTTTCAATAACAACAACAACAACAACAACAACAATAACAACATCTTTTTGAAAAGTTTTGCCCTTTTAAACTGATTTTTACTTTTTTTAAAAATTATTATTGATCTATTTTATTGTTATTGTGTTAACTACTTGTTGCTTTGATGTGTTCTTTGGGGGTTTCTTTGATGTTGTTTTCATGAATTTTTATGCTTAATTTTGTTGTGAAAGTATAATCTCTCTTTTTTTACTTATGTAAATCTTCTGATAATTTAATAATTTTGCAACGAGTTTGATAATAAAACCAGAAATGAATAAACAAAAAACGTTTTTGAATTAACATTAAATATGAAATGGTAAAAAGTGCACGCAATTATTTAAAAGAAAAAAAATAATGAATGTTTTTCATATATCAATATCATAAAACCTCTACATTTTGGCCTATTAACTACTTTGAATAAACACATACAGTACATTGTATGTAATGGTATAGTAAAGTTAATTAGGCCTACTAGTTCACTTCGGCCCGAAAACTGGAACAACACGGGCCGAATCGAATCGGGGCAGAAACGACCCGGATTCAACCATGGATATTGATACACAGTCGGTTTGGATTGCTTGGTATGTTAAGTAGGTTAAACTATTAGCTTTCTACAGAAAATAAAAGTTTCTTTTCTCGGTTATTAACCGACAGCACTTACAGTAGTTGCGTCCAGGGAACAGTTAATCTGTTCCCTGGTTGCGTCCATCAACAGAGGACGCTACATAAGTTTAAAGAAGACGTACCAGTGTATGCAGTGGTTTATATACTAACTCCGTAATAAATTTCTATTCACTTTTATATTAATGCATATCTTTATTAGAATTTACAAGATAATCAGTAGTCCAGGTTGTTGTGCGTGGGGACAATTTTTTCACTCTATATCTACACATAAA